CAGGCTGTGGGGCAGAGCGGGCGCTCGCCCGCGTCAGCGCAGAAATCGAGATGGGAGACGTGGTCAGGTTCCTGTACGGAGAGACGAATGCAGTGATTTGATCCTGACTTGCTGCTTGGAACAACCGTGTTGTAATGTGTTAAAAGATCTGAGGGAGACTTTTTAACGTGGAAGATATTTCACGAAAGGATGACAGAGGTGCTGCAGTGTGTTCAGAGAATGGCAGCGGAGTTTGTGAAGGGCCTGGAGCACAAGTGCCATGAGGAGCAGCTGTGGGAGCCGGGGCTGTTTAGCCTGGAGAAAAGGAGGCTCCGGGGCGACCTTGTGGCTCTGCACAACCCCCTGCCCAGGAGGTTGTGGCCAGGTGGGGCCGGCCCTGCTCTCAGGGAAGAAGGGACAGGATGAGAACACATCACCTTAAGCTGCGCCAGGGGAGGGTCGGGTTGGACATTAAGAGAATTCTTCACAGAAAGGGTTAAGCATTGCAATGGGCTGCCCGGGGTGGAGTCACCTTCCCTGCAGGTATTTAGGGAAAGACTGAATGTGGCACTTAGTCCTGCGGTCTAGTTGTCAAGGTGATGTTGAGTCATAGGTTGGACTCTGAGGTCTTTTCAGCCTAATGGATTCTGTGATTCTATGATTAGCAAAAGGAAAGACCCAAGAAAGGAGTCTTGGGGTGACTGAGGTGCAGGATAGCAGGAACTCACAGCATGGGCCAGGATGGGAGCCCTGGTCTACCCTTAGATAGGCTTCAAAAAACCCTTATACCATATTTAGTGCTCATCATACTGCATATTCTCAAATCAGAGCTAAACCAGTGCAATGAGTGTAGTTAATGCCGTGGTTTGTGTTTGGCTCTGGCCAGGCTGCAGTACCTCTGTGGGTGCAGCTAATGCCATCAGTGCTATGGTCTGTGGCAGTCTCATGCTTCATGCAGTGAGTGAGCCCTGAACCAGCACAAATTTACATCCTGTTCACTCATGGATTGGCAAACTTATTGATGAGGCCTCTGATTAGCAAGTCCGTGCTGAATGTTCAAAGCTTAGCTGCTAAGGTCCTCTTTTCTGCTCATTTCAGGATCACTACTATCCTTTCTGCCACTACTGGCCTTCCTTTCTGCCAAGCAACAGATGTGAAGTATGGCAATGGAGACTGTTCTTAAAACTCAAATTAGTATCCTGCTAACCAGGAATGACTGTAATGTAGTTCAGTTTTATTTTCTTCCTTATTTCTGCTTAATGGAAAGAGGAAGAAGCTGTTCTTAAGAATACTGCCACCAGTTGACTGCATTTAAGACTTATAAGGTGGGCTTTTCAGCTCTCAAAAATCTTTCTGTTGCTTTGCAGTCTGCAGGGATTCCCTTGCATTTTCTTTCCAATTCCAGTAAGCTGAGCTTCTGCAAGCACTGAACTAGACTGGAAGTTGCTTTTGGCACTGCAGCAAGAGCCAGTGTGTGGCTGTACCTAAGCCTGGCCTCACTAGAGCTGCAGCTGGCCTGCCACGTTTTCAGCTGGCTCTACCAGGCCTTGCCCCTGCCCTGCCACGTGTGTGTGGCATCTTGAGATGGCCAAGCCTCTGATTTTAGGAGAATAAACCTACAGGATTATTTCCAAGCCATGTTTTGTTAGTGACCTTCCCAATGTTTTGTTACCTTTTCCCAGTTTCCTACGCTGGTTTTGCCTTCTGAGTCCATTCACAATACCCAGGATTAACCAATATCTCACATCCCACCTCCTGCTGTTTACTTTTTCCAGTTTTCTTTCAAGTTTACTGTTGTGTGCAGCCCCCAGCTTGCCTTATTCCCCTTGGTAGGACAGGAATATGAGCAGGGAAAACACCTAGACTGGGAGGCAGGAGAACAGATCAAAGGAGAGGCTGCACAAGGGGCAGAATCCAACAAGATACACGGCCCAAAACAGCAGCAGGGAGTTTCCTCCTTGTACCACCCAGCCCCACCCTGGAACTTCTCATAAACTAAATAAACCATAGTCAACTATTCAAAAGGCAAATGTTTATTAGATACACTGAACTTTAAAAAACTTTCAAAGAATTATGCAAGAAGTATATTTAAATATAACAGGTGTTACTGCAATTGTGCTACATTACAAAATCACTTTTCTACTGTCAGCACAATCTGAAGACCTTAATGTTATATGTGAGATCTGTTACATCGACTCTGGCACACAGTAAGTGGTCTGAGCTTTCCTGCTCAAATGTCATTTGTGCTGCACCAGGCTGTTCCTGAGGGCAAGATCAGCTCTCCGTGGAACTACAGCTTTTATGTTTCAGTAAATAAAGGAACTGGCAAGGAATAACAAGAACTGCTGTTTTCCTCAGCAAAAAAAGGAAAATGAAAATATGATTTCAGGCGAAAATATCATGAGTAACAGTTCAGGAGGTAAACTCTCTTTCCATGGCCAAGTAGTTCCTATTAATCCAACTCCAAAGTGCTACAGGTGCACCAAAAGGAGAATGACTCATAGGTCCAGCATTTACACAGATGAAATTAGTAACAGTACATTACATTCAAGTCTCTTGATTTGCTTATTGCCATGCTGCACCATATTATTGCTTCATATTTTGTATCTTGAACAAGAGGTTGATGACTTTGGAGAGTTCAGAAATATCACAGAGGCTACTGACTAATACAAGAAACTGCACATGTTAAGGACAGGAAGTCAAAGACTAAACTCAGTCCTTTGTCATTGAGGCGTTGCTGGAAACAAAAAATAGAAAAAAACAAATGCTGATTTCTCTAGATGAAATCTGCCATAGCACTGTAATAATGGAAGCATTCTAGGCATGTTCTAAACAAGAAGTTTAACTGTGCTAATTAATGAATGGCAAGATTTATTTCTCCTAGGAGGACATTAACAGTCTGGACAGTCAGAACAATCATAATAAAGATAACAAACTGGGAGGAGTAATCCAAGCTCTTCTTCACAACAGATAAAAATACAGGTGAATTCAAGGCACAGGTATTTTCAAAATTAACACACAGTATTTTCTTTGGAGCTAATCATACAAACTAAGCCCTAATTACACTGTTAACAAGTTGTACGCAGGGCCTTTATCAGAGAATGATCACAAAATAATTCACATACAGATGTGCACACATAAACACACTAGCATTGACTGGATCTCTACAGTAGGACAAAAGGAATATTCCTGCAAACAGCTTACAGTTCTTAGACAGTAATGTTTTCATGAACTTGTGTGTGACACAAAGGCAGCGAGCAGGGAACAGTCACAGCTGGCTTGGGCCTGGTGGGAGGCTGCTGGTTACACAATCGTGTTCCACTTTAATTATTGCCATCTGAAATAATTCCACACTGAGGAAACTTGTATGCTAAACATATATTACAAAACCCAAAGCATTGCTCAGCCCCCAACCAGAGAGCAGGTTTCTGCTTACAAACCCTCTAGGCTCCTTTTCTGAGTATATGGTGCTCAGATTTCCTTAACCAGGCACAACAAATCATTTCATTTGTCATTTCTTGTGTACATAAGACTACATTCAGATGAAAATATTCATTGTGCCTCACAATGATCAAGTCCTGTGAGATTCTTAATGCTCTTGAATTGGGTTTTGCCCTCTTCAGTGGTAAAAAAGAACCCCACAGCAACTTGCTATTTGGGCAATTCAGAAAAACGAAGCCCTGGCTTTCCTGAGCATTGCCACTAGCACACCACTGCCGTGTCTGCATCTTTACTGCTCCAGCTGAGTTCAGTGAATTGACAAATATGAACCATTTTTACCACCTGAGTTTCAGCATCTGGAATTGCAAACTTAGGACACCCTGGTTTCAGCAAGCCCAGCCAAACTGAACCCCCAACCACGCTGGGTGTCCTCCTGCCACCTCTGAGCCTGCTCCAATGCTTTTCTCCTGTCCCTGCTCCCCAGGGCTGGCCTCAGCCCGGGCTCTGCTGAGCAGCACCCCTGTGCCTCGGGCAGGGGGAAACGTGGAGTCACAGGCAGGGAGTGCTGCTTGTCCTGTCCGTGCAGCAAGGCAAACACAAACAGGACAAAGTGTCTGCCTGGGAGAATGAGGGGAACTCAGCTGTCTGAGGAAGAACTGAACAGGCAGCAGCATCCTTGCTCTCAGGCACAGGTGACCAAAGCTTCCTCTGAATCTCTGTCCACGTGAGCATTTCCTCCTCCTCCACCATCAGCCTCTCTCAAACTTTGCCATGTTAACAATGCTATTTAAAAAGCTTCACTAAATTATGATAAGGGTCCATATCAACATAATCTGCATGCACATCTCTGCTTCAGCAGAATACAAACAAAGCTACCTTTGATGAGAACTGCATTGGTGCCAGTCAAAAGAAAAAAATACCAGTACAGTCTGGACCCCTTGGTGCTGGAGGGGAAGCACAGTGCCCAATCCCCCAGACACACAGCATAAAATGGAAGAGATTCCACAGATTGTGCCTGCTGAACCACTCCCAAGGAAGGAGTCTACAGCTACAACTACCAGATGAGCAGGCAGTGTTCTGTGGCTGATGGCTGTAAAAGGGGAATGCTTCAGCCAAGGGCTACAGGCTGCACTGATCAGTAAGTGATTCAGAACCTTCCAGAAGCCTGATGCAAGAAAGCATCAACTGTCTTTTCAATTAACATCACACTGCTAAGAACAGAAGTGGACATCAAAACAGAGAAGAAAAATATTTACTCATTTCTGTTTAGCAGAGTAAAGATAATTTTTAGAATTTATTTTTTAGGTGTGACTTGGAGATGTTTGAGCCCTCATATGTACAGTTGGACTGAAGTTACATCTTTGTGCAGGTGCCCTAGAGCTACTACCATTTATGATGGAAATAATTTGATTATAGTAGATGACATTAATGATTTTCTATCCTAGCTGAGACAAAGGAAAAACTAAAACCAACTTGCTGCTCAAGCCCATAAACTGCAATCTAGATATGCATAAGAGTGAGAGGTTAAATCTTTGAATCCATCTCTACCTAAGTGAAATGCATTGGAGAACAAGTGGCTCAGGAATGCAACTTCCAAATTAATGCATCCTTCTAGAAATATGGCACATTGTCATTAAATCAAGGTCAAACTGTTCTTTCCTAGTATATCTAAAAATAACTGTTGTAAGAGAGAAGGCCATAAGTGCAAATTATTTACAGAGTAAACAAGCAAGAAGAAAAACTCACTGACTGTTTTAAAGAAATCGTTGCTTAAGTAACTGCCATTTAGCAGTGCTCCACACCTGTAACTGCTCAGCTTTGACACACATTCTGAAGAACTGTAAGCAGAAGTTTTCTGCATCTACATTTCTGCATTTACTGCTTCATTAAACACTGTCATTTTCAAAAACAGGTAACAGTAACAGTACATAAATTGATAAGAAAAGACAACTAAACGATAAAATTAGTCTTAAAAACCTTGGAAAGCAGTATCTTATTATTTACAGAGTAGTGCAGTATTATAAACACAGATTAAATGACACTGTTCTATACCTACAGAATGAGCACTGTTTAAAAACAGTAGAGCATGACAACATTACAAGTCTGAATACAAACAAGAGGAAATCAAAGGAAAGGAGGGTATTTTTCAAATTGCACCTGTAATGAAGTGCTCCTATAGTCTTTGTCATTTTTATTTACAACAATGGCACAAGCTATATATACTGTTAGTACATACAGTCAGTTACAGGGCAATTACCATTGCAATCAACAACCCCTATTCACAGAGGCTGAAATTGCCATTTCAGAGTAAAACTTGGTGAGCAAAACAGATGAAACTTAGAAAAGGATTAATTTATCTGATTCATTAGTCTTACATTATATCAATGGATTTTCTTTTTAGGGCAATGTGAATGCTCAGGGACTGACCTCCTGATTACATCACTGATATGCAATGATTTGTATTTTATCAGTATTCTTACCATATCAAAAGCAGTGTTTGGTATTCAGCCAGAAACTGAAATTTGTCCTTTCCTGAGGTTACAAGTTAATGCATCCCACAGTGCAGCTCCCAGTGCTCTTTAAAACTCATGACCATGTTACTGAAAATGGTGACTCCCAGTTTGGCATAGCTTCACTGAGGGTCAGAATTTCCATCTCATGAAGAAATACTCGGGGAAAACAGATGAGGAAAGTCCAGTGGAACAAACAACGTTCCAGAGATGGTGCTTGTTTTCACCCTCCTGAGCAAGCACAGAGACCAGAACCCCGAGGCCAGGGCTGGCTCTGCAGGGGTTTCATGGGGTTTTTCTGCCCTGGCACTGACCAATTTCCTTACTGGCTGCTGTCCTCAGAATTCCTCTGGAAGGCATATCCTGAGGTTTTTGGTGATTTACAGGAAATTGGTACACAGACAATCCTATTCATTTTCCAACTCCCAAGTGCTATTTCAGTTTTTATGAACTTTGTGCCTCACCTGTACAACTGTGTACTGGAAATAAGGAATCCTAGTACAGAAATCTAGGCAGGACTTAAAAAAATACCTTTACTGAAAAAACCTCAACCCAGTAATGGTGGTGCATCAAAATGCAGGTGTTTCCTAGGCTTCAGAATTACCCAAAACACCTCATATGGCTACATGGACAGGGCCACAGATATTTTTCTGGTGAAAGGAGGAACCTTTCCACAATTTCTTTATCTGTGGCCAAGCAGCTTATGCAGTAGTTTAACTGTGCTCCAGTAAGTGATTGTCTGAAGAAAGGCCAAGAAATACTTGCTGGATACTCTGCCATCTCTGCAGATGAGACACCCAAAAAACAATTTATAACCTGTAGGGCACAAACTCAAGTCCCCACCTCTATCACCAGGGAATTTATAACATGATTCAGAAAACTGTGAGAATGCAGAGTTCAACATCCCTTTATTTCCTAAATAGTTTAGACATTGCAGTGAGCAAAGAGTGAACCCAGTAACTCTCAGCCTTCACCCATACTATTCAAAAAGGTAAAAACTGTGATTCAAACTTTGCCTCACAGGTGCATGCCTGAACCCACTGCTTTTCCATGTCACGTAGCCTTGTACTTCTCTGCTGGACATTTATGAGCACTATGAGTAAGTTCCACAGGGTTGATGTATACAGGCATCACAGCAGTTGTGTTGTAGTGGCTCACCAAACAGCCAGTTTGTCCTTCAGAAGAAAGCATTTCTCAGAGATTCTCTTATTTGTCCAATGTAGCTTGTTTTGTTGGTGTTTTGGTTTTGCTTTGGCTTTTTGTGTTGTTTTTTTAATTTCAACCCATGCATGATGTGACAAAAAAAATCTAGTTGGTTTTAAGAATGATGCATATGAATTATAATTGAGCTTTTTAAATTGCAGGTAATGATCCAGGATGACTCTTTGGGATTTACTTGCCTATGCATTTTTCCCATTAGTAGAACTGGAAACACCTTGAAGATATTGCTTTTAAAGACACAGGCACAGATGCTGAAGGCACTTTCCCCAAAAGCTTTCCAGGTTTTAATTACTAATGACACACAAGGCAAACTTGCTGACCACTGTCCTGCTCTCATATCAGAGCCCACAGCAGATATAACTGAACTCTGCTTACTGGATAGGTTTGTAGACTTGTTTGGTAAGTTAAATTAACCCTTTTTCTAAAGGCACTGGATAGAATTTTCATATGACACTTAGGCAGGGAATTCCCACTTCAGGAATCTTTAAAAAGCCTGTCTTGCAGCAGACCACTGGATTCATTCTTCTTCTTTTTTCAAGAAAAGAAAAGTTACAGTTTAAAGCCTTTTTCATTATATCTATGAATGGTGACACAGCCATGATACGATACTGGCCTGGGCATGGCTGCTACTCCTGTGATAATGCCTGTGGCAGGGTCATAACAAAGAATAGTGTCTGTGGCTTCACCATTTTCCCGTCTTCCACCAAGGATATAGATTTTTCCATTACACACAGACATGCCACAATTCTCCTGTTGCAAGAAAACACAAGGGAACACATGGTTATTTAAAAAGCAAGATTTGATTTGTGTCTGCCCCCATGCAGGAGGGCAGCACTCTGCCTTCTGTAAACAGCCTGGCCTACAATGTTCCCTCCTGAAAGGGCCAGTGCACAAAGCACAGAAATTAGGGAAAGCAGCAGCACAGGTCTATTTCAGCTCCAAGCCTTTACTACATGGAGCTCAGACAAAGTGAACAATGGAACACTGTACTTACCACTGAAAGCTCTGAGATAGGGAAAGGAGGAGAGAACAAAGGTTTGCAGAAGAGGGACCACTGTAGGTACTATTAATACAAAGAATGGGAAAAAGGAGAAGCACCTTAGAGGAGCAACAGATAATGAAGAGGGATGTAAATGTGGAGAGGAAAAAGGCACAACTAAAAACAGTGCACAAGAAAAGACAATGCTGTGTCTTACTTGAAACAGAGATAGGATTTTATTTCTTCCTCAAAAGCAGGCATGGAAAAAATACTCAGTTAAATAGAGAACACAGATTAAAACAGAGGAACAGAGGGAAGGCTGGGGAAAAAAGAACAAATTTCTCTTAGGTAATACTACAGAATATGTGACTGGTATTTTTAAAACATGGGGAAATGTAACTGCTGCACACATACTTCATTACTGAGCAGACTCGTTCAAATCCTGCTCAGTGTCCCACTGGAAATGAGAGAGCTCTCACTGCTCAGGTCAGACACTTTCTGTGCTGCACAGTGGGGCTTTTTCACACTGTAAAAACAGCCTTCAGTACTTCCTGTCACACTGCAAGGCTTTAATCAATTATAAGGAAATTACTCCCTTCTAAATGACAACATACAACAGAATGTAATGTCTATACAATGAAATCATCATTCACTACACTATTCTCCAACAGCAGCAGCTCTCAAGCAAAGCCTGGACTGCTTAAGAGCCAGCTGAAGAACTACTGGTTTAGAAACTTCCTCTTCTGTGATGTTTTGAGTTACAAGAGGAAGAGTTAAAGCAAGAATGGAATCAGAGATGTGATTCTATTATGGTTAAGCAAATGTATGCTTATTTAATGCCAAGATAACAATGCCAAAAAGCACCTTTCAGCTGTCTTTGGGTTTCTGATTGGTAATTACCTGTCTGCTGAATGTATTCTGTACATGCATCCAGTAGTCCTCAATGGGGTCATAGCAGTAAATGGCTTTGGTGAGCCCTCCAGCCACGTAGATCAGGTTGTTGAGGGACACGGCCGTGATGCATCTCTTGGCAATGGGGATGGTGGCACGGAGCAACCAGCAATTGGTATCGGGATCGTAAGACTGAACCTGGAAACAGGAACAGGTCTTTCAGACTGAGAGCCCAGCTGGAGGAACAGCCTGGCATGCCCACACAGGTCACACAAGGAGAGACAAGGCAGCAGTGCCTTCCCAAACTCCATAAATCAATAATTTATACATACGAGCAATATTTGACATTGTTTTCCAAACACTCCCACTTATCAATTCACAGAACTTGTGAAGCCAATGACAAATGCAATGTATCCATGAGAAAGACCACAGTAACAGTGTACTGCTCAATTAGCATTTTCTACTCTGTATTTTTTCTATTAGAATAACTCCACACTCCATCCAGCACAAAACAGCTCAAGCAGATCTCCTGCAGGACCTGGTTTAAATCCAGTTTGCTGTGGACAGATGATGCAACCCAAGAGAGCCAACTGACCTTGTCGGAACAGGTGTTGTCATCAGGGCCACCCCCGATGACAAAGAGTTTGCCCACACAGCTGGTGACAGCTGGGGAGCTCACAGCCTCCTTCAGGGGAGCCACCTCAGTCCAGCGGTTGGAGAAGGAGTCGTAGCACTCCACGCTGCTCAGGCGGTTCTGCCCATCGTATCCTCCCACCACGTACACCTGCACACGGGGGGACAGCACATCAGCTAGTGTCTGCAGCAGCTACTGCATTAAATAGCACACTGAATGAATAGAAAGCTGATCTGCTGGCTTTGTCAAGGGACACATTGCTCACATTTCTTATTTATACACAGGAGGAGGAGAAGAATTTGGTCTGAAAATAACAGGTAAAGACTCCCTGGAGAGCTCCATTCAGTCACATGTGGAATGACACTGCAAACACATGCCAAAGCACACTATTATTAATACTGCAGTAGAAACTTCCTCTTTGAATAGCATTTGTTAGAAAAGGCATTCCTCTGTATTTCTCTTTTTTTAGATAACATTCAACAACAGCAGCAAACACCCATCTGAGTTTACCTTTGCATTTCTGGCATTTTGCTTTTTCCCTACTTGCTTACTGAAGTATTTCTTCCTCTCAGTTTGTAAACTCTACTTTCTTGTCTCTTCTTTCATATTTAGGAAGCAGAGCTCCTCATTATTTGTGATTACCTTCTTCCCTCTGCTTGCTTAGCTGCACGTTTCATCTCTAAGAAGATCAAGTGACACCACATGCACATCTTGTCTAGATTTCAGTAAGGGAGCCCCAACTAGTGGTTTTATGGTCAGGCATACTTGCCTTCAAAACATAGCAAAACCTCCATTTCCACATGACATGTGTTTGCTTAATTTCAACAGAAACCATTAAATAAAATTGCTGACATTCAGAGCACTATCAGTTTCTGCTAATAACAATATAAACTGTTAGACAGCATTTTGAAGCACAGGCAAATCCAGATGCCCAGATGCTTCTCTGCTTCCCAAAAAACTGCTTCTTTGAAATAAGCCACTTCAGTGATGAAAAAACAAAACCCCAAAAAAATAGATGAGCAGTAATATGATTTTCATGTCCTTGGCTAGTGTCTGACTGATGAAGAGCCTAATTGTTTGAAATATTTTATTTGAACATATAAAAATATTTTTAAATTATTTTATATGAAATACAAAGTAATACTTAAGTATTTTCTCCTCTGTTTCCTTATATACAGCAAACATTGCCACTATAAAAAAATTAAGGTATACTTCTCTTACTTTACCCAGAAGAACAGCCATTTTATGTCTCCATCTGCCTTTATTTAAGGAGGCAACTCTGATCCAAATGTTAAGTTGAGAGTTATAAATCCAGACATCCCGGCTATTGATTCTTCCACCTTTAAAATGAAACATATGCCAAATATTGAATGGACAATGCTAACTATTAACATGCCTCTCCTAGAGTGGGCAGTGAAAACTTTACATCCCCTTTTGGGATGTAATAAGAATCTACCAGTATTTATACATTACACTCAATAAGTAATTTGCAATGGATTTCAAAGATAAAATCACACAGTAAGTTGCTTTCCTCACACTTTCCCATAACGCTGAGATCACACCATATTGTTCCCTGAAGCTGGAATGCATTTTAATGGCTTCTGCCCAAGCCCTTCAGATTTCCTGTAGTGCTGAGGCCTGGATGAGACCCCCAGAAATGCCCTGCCTGTGCACATCCCTCCCACCCCCTCTGCTCTGTGAGCATCTCCCTGGCTCCTCACTCTGTTCCAATGACACAGGCACACACACCCAAGGAGAAACTGCTCTGGTTAAACCAACACACACAGCCTGCTGGCTGAACCACCAGCTGCACCTGTCATTTCCCCTTGCTAAAGGCCTGAATGTGCTGCTGGCAGAAGCCTGCTTGGGATTTTTTATCTGTAGTTTTCCCAGCTGTTGCTGCACACAGGCTCCTGCTGTATTTCAAAGCCTTTAGCTGGTCTCTTTAAACACAATTGATGTCCTGAAATCAGCTGTAAAAAACTGCAGATTCATGCCAAACAAGAACTCCAGAAAACACTTTTGTTTACAGTAAGACTGTGCTGGGGCCGTGTTCACAGCAGCAAGTGACTTTCAGCTGAGCTTCTGGAAGTTCACAGTACAAAGATCTGCCACACCACTTAAAAAGCAAACCAAAACAAACACATCCCACCAACAGGACACAAGGAAAACCAACCAAGCAAAGAAAGAACTCGTGAATAGTTTAGGATTATTCACCTGAAACAAGGATATCATTCCGCAGAGCACACACGGCATACTCAGACTTGGTAAACTCTGGAAGTTTGGCCAGTGACTTCCACTCTCCTGTCACAGGATCATAGCACTCTGTGTAGGGCAAATTAAAGCCTCCAACTCGTTCACAGCCTCCAACCACAACTATCACCTCAGAATAACCAGTTGATCTAAAAAAGTGAACACAGAAAATTAAGATGTAGGGGATATTTATTAGTACATGGAGGCCAAACAACATTGTCTTCAAAACTCGTTGAAAATCAGAAAAAATACTATTTAGCTTTAATTTCATAACAACAATGAAAAAAGAAAATAGAAGAAAGAGTAGCAAACAGGTTTTCACTGTTTCCAGCTGTCTCATTACACAGCAGGTTACCACACTGACAGGAGTCCTGTGTAAGTGCTGGAGCTGCACTGCACAATGTTCTGTGTAAAAACCATGTCATTAAATAACATAGAAAGCTCTTACTATCATAATATTTTTCCTTTCACTGTACATGTAGATCAGAAACAGAGTTCAAGCCAGGCCAGAGATAATGAAATGAACAATCTATTCCACAATGAAATCAGTCTTCATTCCCCCTCCTGAGCTTTACAAAAGTAATAATACTTTACAGCACATAAATTTCCAAGTGTTTAAAAGCAGAAGGAGTGTAGTCACTAAAATGAGGAAAACCAAAAATCCTTAGAGCCAATGTACAGCAAAATGTTAATGTTTCCTCCTGCAGTGACAGGAGGAAACATTAAGGAAGACTGAAAGAAAAATTCAAACCTAAAACCAAAAACTACAATTCAGTGGGAATAAATCAGGCATTAGACAGACTGCAATGTACCCATACAGACTGTTAAGTTCTATTCCACACACACTGATTATTGTTCTAATAACCAGATGCTTCTGCACTATACATATTCTATATTCACAACAGCAACAACACTTATCAACAGAACTTAATGTACATTTGAATGTAGGGAATCAACCAACTATGTTTAACATGCAAATCAAACTGTGACCACCTTTATTCCCCCTCTCAGACTTTTGATTTCTAGTCAGCATTTGTCAAACTTTCTTTCCAGAGCATTTTAAAATTAAAGCACTTTGCACTGACACAGTTATTTCAAGGATTGCTGTCAGTTAAGCAAAACTGAATGTAAGATTGATTTATTTTCTGATGAGCCTTTTTGTTGTGTTGTGCTTTGTACTGTGGTCCCACTGCGAACAGGTATCTCATTGAGCAGACATTCATGCCATTGCTGAGTACCACAGTCTTCTCTCAAAAATAAAGAAAATATTTATGACTGGATTTGAGGTAAAAGTTACACAATCTGTCCCTCAAGTTCCCAACATGAACTTAGGCACATATTCACCTATAAATCCTGATGAGGCTTTCCCTGTGTTGAGACATCATGAATAAAACTCGTGAGCCCTTCTCTCTCCTTGTCACCACACACCAAATTGAAATACTCCATACATGTTTTTACCCAGAATACTGTAAAGAGGCAAAGGCAATGCTAAATGCTAACATCCTACAGGATGGGAACAATGAGTATGTCTGAGGAATGGCACTTACACACCTGAACTTGCCAGAAGAAACTCTTGGCAGCTGCTCAGCTTTGCACTCACGCTCCTTCCTGGTTTCTATGCATTTACTGTTTACTGGTTTTTGCTTTTTTGAGGAACAACTCTGAAAAGAATCTCTCAAAGGGTAAGGAGAACTTCCTGTGCCAACAAAGCAGTACCCAGGAAAAGAACTTCCCTAAAAGCAAGACACTCATCTCATAATTTGCCCTAGAAGCAAGCCCAAAGACACCAGCTAATTGTGTACAAAGAGGTTTGCCTGTGCATTACTTTCTAGGTTAGAATTGAGGCCTCCATTCACTCACTGAAAGGATGATTGTGACAGATTATCAATACTTGGTTTAAAACTAAATGAACCAAACAACTTTGCTCAGAGAGAGCTTTTTATGAAATGGGGTTTTTCAAGAAAATATTCATTTAGCACAGTATTTCAAATCCAAAGAGAACAAAAAAATTTCCTAACATTTTAGGACCTATATGACCAGATTCTTTCTTCAGGTAAGAGAAATGTTCTCCATTGTATTTTCTTGAACGAGTCTCGCACTGTGCAGGTTTTATAGTTAGTTCCAAATTTTTGTTTTCAAATGACAGAGTGCACACCCGCTTTTAAAAAAAGTAAAATGTGGTAGGAATACACAAAAAGAACATCCAGGCAAAGGCTAATTCCAGAAAAGAACTAAGGCTATATTTAAATGAAGGTTAGAAAAAGCTGCGACCTCAACCAGCAGTACAGGAAGCCCTTCTTGTAGCCCTCAGATGCAACAGTGTGAGCAAAGTAACACAGTTTAAAACAGGCTGTAACCATTGAGAAGACAGCATCCCACCAAGAACAGGGGCATTAAACAGAAGTGAAGGAGTGGAAGACAAGCAACAGTGCCACACAACTGCATGCATTCCCAAGGGCAGGCTTTCCACAGTCCTGAGCTCCACACACACCTCTTGAGGTGAAAACACGACCAGCACAGCATGAGCTGGACAGAAGAACTTGGGGTAGCTCAAACAGATCACATTCAAAACCATGGTAAGTTCAGAAAACAAATTTTAGAAATTCAAACCAACTACAGAAATTCTGGTAAATCATTACTTTTTTCTTCCTTGCTGTTTAAAACAATTTTGGGTAGTAAATGAGGTAGCAGAGAAAATGCAAAGTGAAATAGAATCCCATCTCCAAGTGGGAAAAAGAAGGAACACCATTAAAGCTTTCCAAAGGCAACCAAAAAGGACATGTTCAAATGTGTGAACACCCTAATTTCTGGTTAAAGAGCACATTCAGGTACAGGTACCAGGCAGCCCAAGGGCAGCTTTGATGACAGCCTGAAGCTAACACAAAGCACACCCAGTTTGGGGTATGGGAGTGTCCCTGCTCACCGCCTGCCCTCAGCCTGCAGAGCTGCTGGGTCACAGCAGCAGGGACAGCACAGCCTCAAGATGTCACTGTTGCAAGTCCATAACTGAAAGGCTGGCTCAGAAAGACCTGCATTTGCCCAGGATGCCTTAGTGGCAAAGACAACAGTTATGCCACACTGGAAACTCTTATTCAACTCTTAAATTGCCAGGTAACTCTTCACTGGCTTCAAAAATAAAAAAAAAATCAAACTGAATTGCAATGTAGTCTGCTCTTTGAAAAAACATGCAGAACACATTTCACCCACAGGTGCATCCATATCCATACAATGATCACAATTTATATCCCAAAGTTTCACTAAAAGCATTGGGGTGGGAATTTTTTATCCTGCAGCCTGTCTCCTTTTAGAAACAGTCTATATAGAAAAGATACTGGAGGAAGGCAAGAAAAAAGAAAAGAGCTCTCCACTGCCCCCCAAAATGCCCAGAAAAGGCTGATGAAAACATGGGGGAAGGGGGACCTGGCAACCATTTCAAAATATGATCCCTTTTTGCTATAGGCAACGGAAACAAACAGACAACAGAAACAAATGACAAAGAACTATTCCATGAATGTAATATAGAAAAGGGGAAAAAATTCCTGCTGGGATGCCAGCCAGTTTTTCTCTTTGTAAATTACTTCTCTTGTTCCTACCTACTCAAACTCGCACTGCAGTTTAATAAACTCAGCAGTAAAACCAACAAACCCCCCCATTTTCAGAAATCACCTGTATTAAGCAAGGTACTTCATCAGAGCCCCACTCTGGGTTATTCAGAATTTCAAGCACATACATCCCCCACACTGACAGAACTCCTGAGTGTATTTGCCTTCCTCAGCCAAGTGAGTAAGAAAAGCAGAACAAACACCAAACCAAACAAACACTGCAGCTCGCAGCCCCCTCCAGCTGTCTGAGCTCCCCTGCTCCCTCCCTCCAGGCCAGGAGCAAGCACTGCAGCAATTCCCATGCCAGGGCCTCCCAGGGCAGTGTACAGCCCAGAAAGCCTGGGGGGGAGCAGGGCTCAGGGACTTCAGGATGAATTTCTGCTCTCATGGCAGGACTGAGGACTGGAAAGCCACTAATGGGGCAAACACTGCCAAGTTGTTTATTTTTCCCCTTAAGCAAGCCTTTAACACCCGCCAAAAAAATAAAGGTTCCCTGCAGAGTCACAGTAGAGCAACCACATATGAGTAAGAGTAAACAAAGAGGAGTAACTCCTAATACAATCTGTCTAGACCATCATTGCATCACCTTAATGTAACATACAGTTTTATAAAAAACGGCTCAAATCAGCTGGACTTAACCATGAACTATCATCTCTACTATCGTTGACATGAGGCAGGAACAATATTTTTCAGGAAAAATAAATCATAATAGCCATTGCTCATAAATGCCACTAATGGACTCTTCCTCATTTCTTCTTGCAACCTCAGTCACCTATTTGTGTAACACATTATTAAGCAGCAGCAATTGTGAATTATTAAAATGTCACTGAATGAGCACAAAATACTTCAGGAACTGTTTCATGATTCTTTAAAAATACAATATTTGGATTATTTACACTTAACAACCTGTTGCTCTGCTGTCTATTACAAATACATGTGCTACTCCATCTGTAAAATATTTGTGATGTAGCAAGGAAATGCTCTGAAAACATAATACCCCATCCACATCCTTTGCGGTGAACTGTACGTTTACATGACTTTGTTACAAATAGAAAGCTGGGGAAATGGAGTGGTTTTCCTGCCACAGCACAGTAAGCTCTCTTGAAGACACTGCTACTGTATGAAGTAACTGAAGATCTCCCCTAGCAAACATTAACCTTAAGAAAGTATTTTACTTGCAAGGTAATATAACTTCACTTACCTTTTTTCAGAGCAACAAAGTGCTCTGTGTAAAAACCCCCATTTATGCACATCCTCAGACATGTGAGCTTCATGCACGTGGGGAAGTACAAAAGTGTCACTGCAGCAGCTCCAGAGTTTAGCAAAGTAAAATAATCTGCAAGAGGCTTTCCTCCAGGCATGCATACATCAAACATCAGTACATCAAATTATGTCCTTCTGCAGAAAAAAGGGTTAAAAGAATTCCCTTACCTGCGTGGCCTAGTTCTGGGAGACATCATCTCGTTCCCAAGGATGTGGTACCTCCGGGCTTCGTGCAGCAGCTGATAGCACTCTGGGGAATTCTGAATCAGCTGGTCCACTTCCACAGTCTGAACAAAGTAGTTGGGGTGCAGGAGGGGGAGCCTGACGTGCGTCAGCAGCTCGTGGAGCACGGGCCGGCGCAGCTCCACGGCGCGGTACACCCAGCGCATGACGGCCTCGAACACCAGCTCCTCCTTGCTGATCACCAGCTCGTCGCTGCAGATGTAATCGATCAGCTCGTCCTTGCCCAGCTCCAGGAACTCCTCGTGCTGGGACACGTCCTCGAAGGTCTGCAGCGCGAAGTTGCGGCACTTGGTGAAGAGCGTTTTGAGCGAGTGCGTGTCGGCGAAGCGCTGGATGCCCAGGCAGTTGCAGGGATCCAGCTGCTCCTCCAGGAACTTGGCGCAGGCGTCGCGCAGGACGCTGATCTGGAACAGGCTCGACGTTTCGAACAGGTACTGCACGTTCTCCGTGGTGATCTTCACCTTGCCCGTGTACACGTACTGCAGAAAGCAGTCCATGGCCTCGGCGAAGATGCCGTTGATCTCCACCAGCATCTCCCTGCTCTCCCTGTGGTCGTTGCAGAACATGGCTCTGAAGTAGCTGCTGCAGGCCGAGAGCACGGCGCGATGGCACGGGAACTCGCGGCCCTCCACGCAGATGATGACGTCCGTGAACAGGCGGCTGTCGCGGAATTCATTGAAGATCTGGAGAATGCTCTCTGCGTGGGATGATCCCGAGGAGAAGTCGAAAAACTCAGGGCCTGACAAGGACTTTGGGTCCATTTCAAAGACTTTCCGCTTGGTTGCAGGGGAATCTCGTATCCCGCTCTCCTCTCTGTTCAGTCTGCGTCCCAATATTAGTACCATTGTTACATCAGTTGGCTATAGAGTCATTGAGAAAAACTTGCAGAACTTCTCCTTCTAGGTGCAACGGGCTGAAAAATTAAAACACCTCAGTGTTCAGTCTGACACACTCTGAGCTGCATCACAGGCATTAGACACGATACTTGTTTGCTCACTCTAAGAACGGGTGACCTTTCTTGGAGGTGGCACAGGGCAAATCAGCGTGCACCTTGCCCAGGGCAGTGCAGCACTGCCAGGTGTTAAATGCAGAACATAGCCAGAAAAGAGCTGTCTGGGACATTGTGGGCAATTTCTGAATGTCCCAGAATGGCTGGTACTGCATTGCTGTGCAAGATAAAAACTCTCAAGATCTCAGCTCCAGCAGATCACCTGGCTAACAGAAGCCAAAAATGTCCTGAATAATGGTCAAGAGCTTCAACTTTTCCCTTTTTTCAGTGTGATCCTCATTTCAGCTGGAGCCTCCAAAGTACTAATATAACAGCACTAGCCAAAAATGGGATGGGGAGAAGACTGAAATTTTAAAAGCAAAAATTTAATTGACTAACCACTCATTTTCATTATAAAATCTATCATACTGAAATCTTATAACACTAGAGTTAAATAACAACCTCTGATCTCAACAAGTAACCTTGACCATAAGTTTTTACCTGCTCACTCCTAACACCTAAAAATTAGTTCACTGATAATCTATGACTTGATTAAAAATTATTGTAAACTGCTGGCACACAAAACAGAATGAAAGATGAAATACATTTTTTGTGTAAAATTACTGGAAACATGAACAAAGGGCAACTTGCTGAGTACAGCAAAATTTTCCGTCTCCAAAGCACTACTGGCAAAGAATTATTAGCAGAAGTTTTTCCTTGAACACCTTCCAGTTTCAAGTACAAGTGTAAAGGTTCCTCCCAGCATGCAAACACACACTCACACTATCAGAGCACTGAAGTTGCAGAAATCAAATACTCAAACCTGAGCATGTGCCAATATTAAAGTGTGTAGGTGAAGAAAATGCAGCTGACTTTGCAAACAATGCACGTAAGAGTTAGTGAGAGCAATCAATCTACCACAACTGGGCTTTTTGCCTCTCCTGACCTTAAAAATGACCTGGAGGAATGTACACCAGGACATACTGAGGTAGCAAAAGGCTGGCAAAGCACCCTCTTGGGCCCGGCATTGGCACAATTCCAAATGCTTGTAATATTTATTCGTATGTCCACAAGGCCACAAACTGAATTATTTTTAAGTTCATGGAAATTTTTTTCATGCCTCCCAAGATTTTATTCAGTTTCCCTGAATCCACAGTCAGGAAACACCAACTCCTCACGGCAACTTCATTTCCTGAGGAGCTCCCATCCTCAGAGCTGCAATTACCCAGTCCCAGACTGGCCACGTCACCACTTAATATAGAACACAATGAACGTGCTTTTTTTAAACAGCCTTTTTACACAGCACCTTTAAAAGGCACCATCTGAGCAAACAGCAAGGAAAGAATGCAGGCTGTCCCTTCACTCATTGAGAAAAGAGGTTCTAAAACTATCCCTCTCCCAATAAAATTTTTTACACAAATTTACAAGGTAGATTCTTGGTCTGGGGCTCATTTACCCTACAAAATATTAGTTTTAATTTGACTTAAAATAGGACCAGTTGTCACAGTGATGCCTGAAAAACGCTGTTGCAACGAGCCTATCTAATAACTGATTGCTTCAGAGCGACTAACGAGGCACAAATGGACAATCTGATCTGTAGCTGACATTCTATCCCACGGATTGCACAACCACCTCACCCTGGAATGACACAGCCGATACAAAACAACACCAGCAACCACCCCCAGCTGCCAAAATCCTGCACTGAACTTCAGCTGCAACTAACCAGGTACTACTCGCATGAGGAAGTGGCAGAAACAAAGCAGCAAAGGGAAATATAACAATGCAAATATAAATATAAACACAAAAGGCTCAATTCCAGCATCACAGATTTAAATCAGATGAATTTCACAAAAGCTAATGGACCTTCTCCAAAGACAGCCTGAAATGAAAAACAAGACCCTGATGTTGCATGAGGGGGCAAAACACAGCAACTAAGGAAAAATTCTTCAAGATTATATCTTTCTCATTATGTGAGAAGTTAAGACAGCACTGTATTATGCAATCATTAATAACCAGAAACAAGGGCTCTGGGCTACAACTCCTCACTGAAGGAAGCAATGTCTTCTTTATGCTTGGAACATCACAAAATTAGTGGTCAGCAAATGATTTTTATTTTTAATGTCCTCATGGTTTAATGAAATGGGAGAATGAAAAAAAAAAATCCAGAGTAAAAACTACTCAAGGGGATAAATATTCTAAAATCACAAATAAGATACTAAAAAGGAGAAAGAACTCCACTTCAGTGCAGAACGTACTGTTTTTAAATGTACTTTCCTCCAATTTCTGCCCAGCTAATTACTTCTGCAGGTTTGCTTCAGCAAAACAATTTCACAAGCCTATCAGTAACAGTGTCACATGCTCAGCTCTATCACATTTACATGTTGCCTTCCTGCAAATCTTGCTCTAGCAGTTTTGAAATGTCACCTTCCAGCTGCCAAAGTGGGAAAGGCAGAGGGGAGCCTGTGCCTGAGGCTGAGCTGGATATCTGCAAAGGGGGGAAACACAGCAGGACAGACCCGTCTGCACCTCTCCTGGATGCAGAGGTGCCTTATCTGCCTACAGACCCTGCACTGTAAAACACCAGTCATTCACAGAATTTAACACTCAGATCTCTTCAGTTTAAACAAAGCAAAAGAAAAATACAGGGTTTTTTTTTCCCCCTGGGAATTATTTGATCAAAAATCAAAAAATAATACAATATGCACTGGATTGCTTGTCTGAGCAAGGGTCAAGAAGGATCTTAAGCATTTAGTATAGTTTGAAAAACTAGAAAAGAAAAACAAATCACATGTATACTCAACAGGTTTTACAAACTATTTCCAAACACAGACATGGCTCTGACATGGATGTTACCTCACACACACACGTATTTCTGAGCTAAGCTGGGTTCACCACGAGTTCAGGTTCCTCTATTTCCTTCACCTACACCACCTGTAAGCTTGTGTACACAAGCTGCTCCTCAGAAATACCCTACAGGCCCAATTCACACGCTGCCAGAAGTAGTCTGTAACACGTTCACCCTGACACCTTTTATCAGTGAATCCCCTTATATAAAACACTGTTATGCTGCACTGAATTCCTTCCCGTCCTGCAGCCCCCGGTGTGCGTTTCCCCTCTCCCCTC